GCTCGCTGCTCGCCTAGTGAGTGCGTTGCGGAGGCGAAAAGAGTCAATTTAAATGCATGCAAAGAACACCTCGCAGGCATGACCACACTCTACAGCCCCTAATTTCTGCTGGACCTGACCATTGAGACTCTGGGAAGATACTTGCCCAGAATTACAATAAAAGTTATAGTGTGCCTTGCAATGAGGGTAAAACACAAGGGCTCGCATCAAACTGTCTATTAAAAAAAACGATTTTCTTAAGTGCCAATGAGACGTTAATGTTCACCAGGTATTATTAGGTTGATCAAATCAGGGACGATGGGATGACTGGGAATGTAGCATGCATGGAGTATATGGTGAATGCCAAAAATATTTGTCGGAAGCATAATGGGAGGAAATCACTTGGGAAATGGTAGAACGGTATTAAAATGGAACTAAAATATAGTAGGAAAGTGTGGATTGGATATATCTGGCTCAGGACAGAGACCAGTGGCGAGCTGTGAATATTACAATGAATATTCGGTTTTAATTTGAGACAAGGCATTTCTTGAGTAACTCAAAGACTAAGAACTTCCCGAGGACTCTGGCCAAGGAGTTACTTAGAGATACTTACTTACTCATTGGGCTGAGCCGTTCTTGAGGAGCCGCCAATTCTGCAGCTACTCAAGAATTTCCCAGCATTTTATGAAACCCGAAGGTTCATTACGATGTTCACAAGAGCCCTCCACTAGTCCCTATCCTGAGTCAGATCAATCCAATCCATACCATCCCAATTTATTTGTCTATGATCCATTCTAATATTGTCCACCCATCTACACCTTGGTCTTTCTAGAGATCTCTTTCCTTCTGGCTTTCCACCAATATCCTATATATCCAATATCCTATAACACAGTTTCATATAACTGTTCTTTGGTCACTCATCGCTACGTTAAGTACATTTCACTCATGCTAGGAAAATGGGATGGTGTCTAAGACAGTTCATGACTCTGCATTCATTTCGTTAGCTTTACAACCTACCTAGTTGTCATAAAGAGACAAAAATTATGAAGTTGCCTTAAGTTTATAGGCAACGGGCCTTGAAGAGATAAGAAGGACGTGGAGATGTCATTACACAAATTCTAAACCTGAGCACTGGATGGACGCAAGCCATCAGCTTCACACTGCAACAGACCTAGGATGAAACAGATTTTTAACTGGTGAGACTTGTCCCATTCCTTGGACTTTCGTGTCGTGTTCTGGTAATCTGCTAATCGTTATCGGAAGTTCTTATTCGTTAAATTTAACGTTCCGCCCAGGCGATCGCCAGTCCAGCCAACGGACGCGTCCTATATGCCGAGAATCACCGCCCTTTGTAGAGGGTCTACAGTGAAGTGATGAATAGGAGACTACGATTTAGGACTTGAGTGTATGTGCATGTAGTGTATACGTACATAGTATACTTGTATACATATAGAGACGCGGTCACGCTCTGCTGACTTTTAATTTTTTTACTTACTTTGCATTTTTAAACTTAATTACAGTAGTTGATTAATACTGTGATGTTAAACGAATCAAATTAAATTTAAATTATTTAATACGAAATATAACATAGTAATTATTTATCGGAGATTACTTTTTTTTTAAATTTCGTGGAATCTTTACTAAAACAAAGTTCAGAAACTTTCCATCCAAAATCAGACACTACAAAACATTACAAATTATAAGTTGTTCTGTCTACGTTTTTGTGTGCATGTCATATATACATATGTATAGTGAGAGAGAGCGAGAGGGAATCCTGGTCGTTAAACACGAAGGAAAACACAGAATCATAATGTCTGAGAAAAATATCTGAGGATAATATTTGTTCGTAAAGGAAGTAACAAATATAGGGAAGTAACAGGGGGACAGAAATCAGTCGCATAATGAGGAGCTTCATAATTTGTACGTTTCACGAAATATTAAGACGATAAAATCGAGGTGAATGTAGTGGGTGAGACGTGTTGTACGCATATCTGTATTTAGTCAGAAAATATAAAGTCAAAAGACCGCTTGGGACACCTAGATGTACATGGGAAGAAAATAGTGAAAGGGGTCTTAAAGAAAAAAAATATGGTTTTCCGACAAAATACATGGATCAAACAAGACGGAATTGCGTGTCATTGCAAACACTGATAGGTATTCTAGATCCATGAAAGTCACGGAACATCCTGAGTAGCTCAGTGGCTATCTTGTTCTCAAGACTTACATACTCCATGGCATTAGTGTTAATGTAAGGACAGAGACAGTCTTGAAGTTGTCTGAAGTTATGAGAGTTCTGACACTTTCTTATGGATGTTATATTTGGCTTCAGAAGAACAAGAATATTAGTGAAATTCAAAGAGGCTCCTCTTGTCACCTCCTTCGTGCTTTGTTCTTTCTTGGTTTATATTTCGACTCTGAAGATGGAGACGATATATGCCTCTGAAGTACACTGCGTTACAACCTAGAAGACCGCACTCTCCAGAATAAATGAAAATTTAAATATTACAAGTTGTATCCGATTTTACAAAATTAAAGCCCAATTTACGATAGGGACTAAATATTGTTTCGTAAATAGAAGAATAAACGATCACAGACGAAAACTGTTAACACACTTTAGAAAATTTGGCAATGAAAACACTCCCAGAATCTGCACTTTGTTAGAAAGCAAAAGAAAGAAGAGAGACTGGGAGACTAGTCGAATGAAGTGCATATATTCCGAATATGCTTCAATGTAACTCGTGAGAAAAGGAATAACTGTTAGAAGTAATCGTCAATAGATTATACTGTTGCTGGACTAGACAGGGTACTGTGATTCATAGTTCTCTCTCTCGACTAATATTGAAGTTATGGTCATTTGGGATATGAAACAATGTACTTTGGTAGATAGGTACCGATGTTACGGAGTTACGTAATATACTGCCATCATCGTCAGAGTAGGAGCGTCGCTTCAATCTTCCATTTGTGTCTGCGGTTGAAGCGACATTTACACCCTGAAAATGGAAAGAGCTATTCCTCTTAAACGTCGATTTTGACTACCAAATAACACCGCGTCAATTTGGCTGTTGTTACTGTTCCGTAAATTTATGGTGTGGAAAGATCTGTTTGGGTCATAAGATTCTGACTTCCCCCTTTGTATGCCCTTTACTATGAACTGTTCTCTTGGGTATAATCAGCTTCCCCACTTCGTGTGGCATACTTTATTTAGCTAGAGAAGTGGGGTGGGGAATTGTTAGCAATTTCGCTGCACCGAAATTACCACCGGCAACAGATCAAAAAATAAAACAGTAGTCAATAAAAAGGGACGTGTTATTGATTCGCCATTCAATCACTCCTGAAGAGAAAACTTATTTATATCCTTAACCCCGATGCGTTGCAATAATGGGCGACTTACAAAACCAACCAATTTGGAAAGAGGTAACTTTACAGAAAACCAAAAGAAGTAGATAGGATATAATAAATCCGTTATGGAAGAACTCATAGCTCCGGTATAATCAGCGGGTTTTCACTATGTAGGCTATTGCTCGTGCTGGTGGGATTGTCTGTCCTGGCACACGTATATCTCCCAGAATTTCTGATGTCTTCTACCACTCATCATTCTACGAATGTTCCGTACTCCCGCATCATCAGGAAACAGTCACATTTAAGACCGCAGTATCAAGAGATTGAGTCTCACTCCACTTTTACAGCCTATTCTTCAAATTTATCATGATATTCCCATGACTTTATTTTATTGCTGGTGGGGTGGGACTAAGTCCCTTGTACTGCGGCCACTTCTGGCCTATTGTACCATCCCCAGATGATAGGTGAGGGTGATTGTGGAGCAGTTGGTGGAGTGAAGATTGGCAGGGGAAATCGAAGTACTCAGAAAAAACTTGCCCTAGCGCCACTTTGTCCACCACAAATTCCACTTGACCAGACCCGGGATCGAACCTGGGCCGCCGCAGTGGGAAGCCAGCGACTAACCGCTTGAGCTATGGCGCGGTCTTCCCATGACTTACACTGGGCATTGTTACGGACATGTTTTATGTCACAAATCTGCAATCGTCAAAACCTTAAAATCGAGTATTCTTTGTGAAAAAAGTCAAAGATAATTTATATGAGGGTCTCTGCTTCGAATCGTGCTCCAGTCACTTTACCATTTGAAGTTAGAATACACAGACAGAGAAATGGAAACAGGGAAGCATATCAGGAAATCATGGGAGATATTTTACTTGGTTGGGGAGGGTCATAAATACCATCCGCCCCAGGTTTCAGCTTTCGTATTTTTTACAAAGGTCGTATGAAAGTGAAGATGTAAAAATTGTCAGAAAAATGTCCGATATTCATCTAAATAAACGTTTAAAAGGTCATTTCTTTCCTCAGACTGGGCCGGATAGCTCAGTCTGTATGCCAAACAAGCTACTGGCTAGACGACTGACACTCAGAGTCGGGGGTTAGACCCTCGCTATGGGTAAGAGATTTGTTTCTTCTCCGTAACAGCCACGCTTGCTCTGGGTCCCATTCAACCTCCTATTCAATGTGTATTGGGGCTGTTTCTCCTGCGGTAAAGCCCGAGGGTCGTGAAGCTGATCACTAACTTCCTTCAAGTACTGAGGTTAAGAACTGTGGAGCTATACTTCCACTTCCATGTACATTTTCATGGGCCGATGCTTAATTATTTAACACAAGGAATAACTTCAACTTACGTACTTACCTCACAGAGAACAGTCAACCGGTTATTGCTGTGTGAAAATAGTGGCTATTTTTTTTTCATAATCATACAAAAGAAGTAAATGCAGTCTTTGGAAGAAATGCAAATGCTCTAATTTTAAAGGTGATGTACATAGAGTTAGTAATGTCCTTTGAATAGTTTAGTGCAGTGGTTCTCAATCTTTGTCAGACTGAGGCCCGGCGGATGAGAAACATCGAAATATTTAGGTAAATACAATTATGAAAATACAAATTAGAAACTGCTTTCATGCAATTTCGAAATGCTGCGGTTTGTTAATCTTCGGGATGAAAACGGTTCGCATCTCACTCACCCCTTTATCGCCGAGCTGCTCCACTCGGCAGTGGAGGAAGGCGGTTTGCCCCACGGCAGTGGTCACGTTGCGAGGGACGTTGAAGTCGAAGTAGGGCATGGCGCTGATGTTCCCCCCTGCCCCCACTTCGTCTGCTTGCGGCATTCCTGTCGACAGAGAAGCAGCAGCGGTGAACCTGCCCATTATGCAGCAGGGCCCACTTGAGGTGTAGGCTGGGAGTGATTCTGTTCATTAATGATAATCTGTTGAACGAGAGTGCGAGTATACACAAACAGCATTCAGAATAATGCAGAAATTACTTGTAATATTGTAGTCTTCTTGTTTCGGCAGAGTATAGATGGGTGATGGGTACCAACATTTCATCTTCACGATGGTTTATTTAAATTAGCTTGAAAAAAACGTGCAGAATGTTTCTCCGAAACGTTGGTACCGCATACAAGGTTACAGGAGGTGGCGTCTGGGTAGAATGTGAACATGTAGAACTTGAGAGCAAGGGACAGAGACTCCGATCAGAAAATAAATATTCCCATGTGCTTTGCCAACTTGAGAGAACGATGAAGAAATTACTATGAACAGAGATATTTTAAATTCTTGCGGGACACTCCAAACCCTTTCGAGGGTATAGCTCGATTACAGTGTGATGGCAAAGGTACAGAGGAAATTTTTTAATGAATTTGCGGAACGGAAGAGTTTATATTCTCTAAGAGCAGACATGAGGGTTATACAGTTCAGTTTGCTGCTGACAGCTGCTTTATTTTTTTGCAGAGGCTCTTGACGGGGTTACTCACTCCATTGCCCTGGTTCCCCTTAACTCCCACTCCTACTGGTTGGTTGTGCCAACATAGTAATCGAGCTATACCAAGGTATTCCGAAGCCTGATCCGTACTGCGGAAAGAAAAAGGCGTGCAGGGAAATGTTATATTCAGCCTTAACAAATATGATGCAGCTGTGATAGAAGAATTGTAGAACAAGTAATTCTCAGCGCATAAGCGAACAAAGTTTCCTTCCATATCATAACAAATGTAAGAGATACAAACGTAATCTTATAGATGTGCCATATCTGCAGTAACTTCCTAGATTCTGAATTCCCTCGACGATAATGCAATATTTAAATTACATGCCAAGATATCGGCAGATGACGTAATAATGTTGTTCATATTTTCTTATGTTTCAGTTCCCGGGAGCTGTATTTGAAGCTTAATATTACGAAATATAACATCAGGTTAGGAAATTTGACTTTCATTTCTTTTAAAATTTCATGAACTTTTTTAACTACAAGAAAATTAGTAGCTCGAAAAAAAAGGGCTGCAGGCCGACCGCTGAATAGAACATTAGACCTAGAAGACGTTCTACTTTATGTCCACAGAACAAATTTTGATACTGAAACAAAACTTCGATTTATTTCATATATAATTCTGATGTTCTGAAGTGAAATCTGGGTATGGAGATATAGCTACAAGCATAATTAAATTCTTTACTAAGTGCGAGTGGTCAGCTTCCTTCCTCGGTTACTTTACCTGAAATGAAACAGCACCAGATATAATTCATATATATCTATATATTATATATTTCTCATGTTATTATTATTTTATATTCTTCTTAGTGTGGTGAGACTGAATCCACTCTGTACTGCGGCCACTACTGGCCTATTGTACCAGCCCCAGATGATAGATGATGGTGACTGTGGATTGTACTTAAACGAACATCGAGCAATGAGAATATAAATATACAAGGAAAGTAGCCATTTTAAGCCCATATATGTAAATATGAATACAGGCTTTACAATTCAATAATGAAAATTAGTAAATTACAACATATGAAGATGACCCTATAAGGGTCGAAACATGAGGTGGAACATAAGTTATTAATTTGTAGTTGCGTTGACGGTGGAATTTGTATTATTAATCGATATTTCTGCTTGCTTGTGTAGGTTAAAATTCGGTATTATCCTTGGAAATTTTGTTATTGTTCTCAGGACTCTATTCTGAAATGTTCGAAATTTATATTTACAAGTTTCAGCAACAGAGTCTCAGGGGGACAGGCTTATATCAACACGTACCGGAGGAATAATGCATAAACTATTAGAGCTAGATTTATATCAGGAGTTCAGAATTTATTTACTGCACGAGACAAATGCCTTTGTAGCTTACCTGAAAGAGAAGGCAGGATATGTGTCTCTTTCATTTTAATTTTGAATATAGTGTCAACCCAAGACATTTTGTTTCACTGGAATTTCATTAAAAATTTTGTTCTGTTAGTACAGCGGACATAGACCACTGTAAGTCGCGGTGCAAGGGCCGAGAAGGGCCACCCCTTATACATTCATTAGTACAGCGGAGATAGTCATGTAATCGTACGGAGAAGAATGAAGCTGTGAAAATGTTTTTATTAAAAATATTACTCCATTTTTGTGATCGGGGTTGACAGAAGTTTTTAATGTTGTTTAACTTTGTAACCGCTATATTGTGCCTGACAAAACAGTGATATTCCTATTTTTATCACAAAATCGAGGGTTACTTTAATATGAATTTCAACGGGTGGAATATCGCTAATATAGAGGTTATAAAAATGTTTGCCCGAAAAAGAAACTTTCCCGGAGAAATCCCGGCCAGATGGCGCGTTGGCTTGAACAAGAACTTCCGTAGGTTAAATGATGGGATCGATTTTAAGTCAACTGTGAATTATGTGTTTTACGTGAAGGGGGATTTCGCTGTTATATTTTTTAAAAATTGCAAGATCTCTTTAAATATACACCAATATTGAAACTGTAACTTTGTTACTGTTGACACCTTAGGTATCTTTTCGGTTTCCTTGTCAATATATGTGTTGTCAATTTTCTGTTTGATTGTAGTTTCTAATAACCTTAGGCACCTGAAGTTTAACATTTAGTTTATAAAAAGTTATTAGGCAGTTTGTTGGCAAATGATTCAGGGGGAAGCGTGGTCTTCACTCGATTTCAAGGACGTAATTATTTTAGCCTGTTTTTATTGTGTAAGGAAAAATGTAGTTCTAGGGATTTATTGAGAATGTGGGTAAGAAGTGGCAGGCCTGGTTCCTGCAGACATTTATGTATGATGTTACTGCGTAAGGCCTGGCTGCCTTGCGTGGTCTCTGGTGGCAGATAATCCAATATATTTTGGAATGATTTGCAGACCTCAACGTGTTTACCACAGATTGTTTAAGGAACCAACCTACAAATTTAACGAAAATTTCCTCTACAGTAGTCTACATTTTTCTTGAAACGTTCCGGCAATTTCTAAATTATACTTTTCAAGTGGGATTTTACGGCTTACACTCGTGAAGTGAGATGGCCTATATCATGTAAATAATATTTTAAAATATAGTTACTACGTCATAGAAAACGTAATGTTTCTCTTAAGATTGAATGTTTTCACAATGACATCTGTGTTCTGGCATGTGGAACTTGTGGCTTTGCTGGCTTAATATTTGACCTGGGAGATGGAAGAGTATATTCGTCCGAAATTCTGATAAACTTTTACCAGACCACACAGCGTCACAACGCAGAAGATAGCTTTCACGCTGCTTTTCCATTAGAAAAGTTAAATATTCAATGTTGGTAAAAAATAACTGTTTAATTTTACAATCGCAGAAAAGATACGAGTAAAAATATACAGAGTAGATTAATGTCAAAGCAAGAGGTATATATAGTTGCAAGGGTTGTTAACTGTCCAAAGCACGGTGGTTACTATATATGTATATATCACCTGCTTCTAACATTAAGTAAGTTCTTCTGATCGCATAGAGTACATTCATACATTTTCTATGATTCTAAAAATGTATTTCCATAAGAACATTTTATTTTAATACTTAAGATGCCGTGTGTTCTCTGTACGTCAGGAACCGAATTTTGTATTTATTTAGAGGAATATCGTGATTACTATTGGTACCAGGCATTTGCTAGGAGTTTAAGCAGGCTTTATGAGGGTTTCGACCACGATACTTACTCTCGAAAGTTGTACTTGGAAATGCGAACTTTCTTATATAAATGAAGTGTGTCAACCTCTGAACATTGATATTATAGACTCACGTTATTAGAGCAGACTTGTGGCAAGCAACACATTTGAAAAGATTGGCAGAAATATTTGTATTGTGAGTAGCAGTTGGAGGAACACAATTACAAGGAAGGATAGAGAACCTGAAATTTTTGAGTGGAGAAAAATATCTTACCCCTGCCGGGAATCGAACCCCAAATTCAACGATCGGTACTTCCGTAGCTCAGCCCCTACGCTCGCTGATAAATCTCTGCTTCCAATTTTCGTGAAACGCAGAAGGTAAGCAACAGAATTGAATGGGGCACTACAGGAAGATATGGACAGTACATATAAACATTGACCTACTCAATGGCGCTGACAGTAACTGAGAATATTTTTTTATCATTTATTGGCAATCTGAATTTACATTCTATGAGCTAATTTTCTGTCATGTAGAATAATTATTCTATTGTACTATGTTGGCTTGAAGAGCTGTAATCCATCGATTACGCCTCAGTTTTCCTGGAGATCGTCTGGCCAAGTTCGTCTTAGTCTTCTGTATTGTGTAGGTTGAAGGAGAGCTTCTATTGCGTTGTTGGGGTGAGATTCCAGTTTCTGATAATGTTTTTGGATTCTGTCTGTGATTATGGTTCTTACATATGGGATCTTGAGGTCGGTGTGAAAAGTTTGGTTTGACACGTACCAAGGTGCGTCAACTATGGCTCTAAGTATTTTGGATTGACTTCGCTGGATGATTGTTATGTACTGAGAATATTAAGAACAAAAGGCATTTCGCTCAACTTTTCACAGTGTGATTTCGTATTAAGAAAGACAATCTGAAAATAATATACAAAATATATCCTAAGAAGATTATTTATCGAGAAACACTTTAAAATCAAATTAGGGAACTGTTTCTCTGTAGTGTTATATGTCACGGTGTACTCAAGACACAGAGTATGCAGCACCAGCCACTTTCGGTCGAATAATTATGCACACACACACATGACGAATACCGCGACATGCTCTTTACCCTCGGTAAATATGAGAGTTGAGCTTGTAATGCTGCACAGGAATACGGGCTACGTACCTTGTTCTGGTAGACGCTAATGTGTTTCGACAAGTGTAGCAACGTCTCCGTGAGACAGGAAG